CTCTCTCTCTGCCTCTCCCCCTCCCTTCTATTCTCTTTAAAAATCAAGGGGGAAATATTCTTGTGTGAGGATTAACAAACAAACAAAAGAGAATGGTTAAACAAAATGTAATATATACCATACAATGGAGTATTATTCAGCCATAAAGGGAAATAAAGTTCTGATACCATATTACAACATGGAGAAATCTTGAAAGCATTATGCTACATGAAATAAGCCCAACACAAAAGGACAAATATGGTATGATTTCACTTATATGAAGTATTTAGAATAGACAAATTCATAGAGACAAAAAGTAGACAGAGAAGGGTTACCAGAGGCTGAGGGCGGAGGACAGTTATTGCTTAATGGGTACAGAGTTTTTATTTGGGATGATTAAAAAAAGTTCTGAAAATAGATAGTGGTGATGGTTTTATAGTATTGTGAATACACTTAAAGCCCCTGAATTCTAAACTTAAAAATAATTAAAATAGTCTAGTTCTAAATATCTTTATCTGTAGCCACAAATTTCCTTCCTTCTCACCACTTTATATCTTACATTCCACTCTCATATTGAACTACTTGACCTGTAAAAGTAAAACATACTTTCAAACTTCCCTGGATTCACTTACAATCCTCTTGTTCTTTCCCCTTTCTAAGTTCGTTGAACTACTCTTTATTCATTAAGATTCATCTTCAGTGAAAACTTTCTTTTCTGATTTCCTGAAGCAATTAATCAATTGTTCTTTTGTACTGTCAAGTCCCTTTATAAATAATTCTACTATAGCATTTAATCATGCATTATGGATTATTTATCTATGGGTGTTTCCCCCATTAGATTCAGTTTTGAGGATAAGCATAAATCTTATCATCTTTCCTACAGCACGTAGCACATGGTAGATACTCAACTTTCCCAAATAAATGACTTATGCATGTATGTGCTTTGAAAAGTCCTAAAGCACTATATCAGTACAAGGACTTATTTCATTTTACCCTTTGTGAGTTTATTTCAAGTTAGTTTCCAGGTTATGAAGCAAGTCCCTGATGATATGCAACATATAAGATAATTCACCCCCCCCACTATAATCCTATTAAACTAACCCTAAGTTATTCTTCACTTAAATGCTAAATTGAATAAAAAAATATTTCTGAGTTTGTAAATGAAGAAAATACTAACTAAATGTACTATCATACATTTCAAAGAAAAGATACATTCTATGCATGCTAGAAAGATGAGTTAATAATGAGTAGTTTTACATAAGAATATTTTTGTTATGTCTTTCAGAAAAGTAATGTAACCAGATATGTGAATATCTAGCCCTAGCACATATTTATATTAGTACATACTCTGATTAAGAAGCAGTGCAAACTGCTGAATAAATCATGAAATATTTAGTGAGTAGTACCAACTATAGTACCAAATATATATGTTTAAAAAGTTAAAACTAAATTTTTATAGCAAGAAATTCACAATATAAAAGTGAAAAACATGAAAAAATAAATCCAATATAAATGTGCAGATATGGTCATTTACTCAATAATTATTACCTTAGTATATACTAGGAACTGTGGGAATACAAAGATTAATAGAACATACAGCCCTGCTTGGCTCACAATTAGGTATGGAGACAATTATAAATAAGTAATTACAGCAATTAACATTAACAACTCTTCCCTTGGCCTACATCCAGATTTTCCTTCTCTCTGGCAATTCTTTCTCAGTCATTAAACCTGCTCCTCCTCTACTAGTCTTATGTGCTGCAAGGCTCTATTTTATATATTCAGTATCTCATTCTACACCCTAGGCCATTCCTATGACTTCAAGACTTCAACAACCATTACAGACAAATCTGTTCTTAAAGCCCATCCTTTCTACTGAGTTCCAGAAGTATATTTCCAACTGCCTATATTATAGATTAGAGGCCTGGTGCACGAAATTCGTGCACTTGGGGGCAGGAGGTGAAGGGGGTGGGGGGTTGGAGGGAGGAGGGGAGGGGGGTCCCCCTCAGCCTGGCCTGTACCCTCTCACAGTGCAGGATCCCTCAGGAGATGTCTGACTGATGGCTTAGGCCTGCTCCCCATGGACATCCTTAGCACTGCCGCAGTGGTGGGAGAAACCCCCACCATCGCTGCTCTGCTCCTCAGCCATGAGCCCAGCTTATGGATGAGCAGTGCTCCCCCTGTGAGTGCACTGACCACCAGGGGGAAGCTCCTGCATTGAATGTCTGCCCCCTGGTGGTCAGTGCATATCATAGCGACTGATCATTCTGCCGTTCAGTCGATTTGTATATAAGCCTTTTATGATATAGGACTAGAAGCCTGATGCATAAAAATTCGTGCAGGAGTAGGCTTACCTTCTCCCCAACTGCCAGCACTGGCTTCGCTATGGCACCTGGGATCCGGGCTTTACTCCAGCCACCACCAGCAGGCACCCAGAACCGGGCTGCTTAGCTCCAGCCGCCACTGGCAGGCACCCAGAACCTGGGCTTCTTGCCAGCCTGGCTTCATCCGGAATGACACCAGACTTGTCTCCTACTGGGGATGTGCCCGCAACCAAGGTACATGCCCATGACCGGAATCGAACCCGGGATCTTTCAGTCCCCAAGCCGACGCTCTATCTACTGAGCCAAACCGGCTTCGGCTACACCACTTTTAGAAATGTTACTCTAAAGAGACAGCAAGGCCCATGAGTAGAGTCCATTATTAGGTTGTTAGAGGGGGGGAAATTTCAGCAAAGAATATAGTAAAGAAGGTAGGAGACAAGTCTGGAGAGTTCATTATTATAGGAGCAAGAAGGGAGATAATCTCCAAGAAGCTAAAGCTAATCAACAGGACCAAATTACTGAGAAATTAAATAGATGGAAAAGAGCCAAGACCGGTTTGGCTCAATGGATAGAGCATCGGCTTGGGGACTGAAAGGTCCCAGGTTCGATTCCGGTCAGGGGCATGTACCTTGGTTGCGGGCATATCCCCAGTAGGGGTGTGCAAGAGGCAGCTGATCGATGACTCTCTCTCATCGATGTTTCTAACTCTCTCTCTACCTTCCTCTCTGTACAAAATCAATAAAATATATTTTTAAAAATAAATAAATAAATAGATGGAAAAGAAAAATAATTTTTGGATTTGACTAGGAAGACCAAGTGAATGGCTTCAGAAAAGGGGAGGAAACAAGATTGGGATGGGGATGAAATAATAAGTTAAAACATTTAAAGATCATTAAAAATTGGAGTTTAGCAGAGAAAGTAAAAAAAGAAATTGGTTCATTGGCAGAAGGAAGTAAATATGGGAGAATAAAAATTTTTTTAGAACAAGATGCCTGTACATGTTTGAAGGTAAAAGTAAAATCCTACTAAACTGACCATTACAGTCCAGTAGATAGAAGAAATGGAATCCAGAGTATAAATTACTAGAAAAGACTTATCTCTCCTTCCAGATTGGAGAGAAGAAACTTTAATAGTGATATCTAACCATTTCGAGTCCAAAGATCTTATTTAAATACTTCGAAGCCCGGCTAGCATGGCTCAGTAATTGAGTGGAGTCTACCTCTGAACCAGGAGGTCATGGTAGGATTTCAAGTCAGGGCACATGCCCGGGTTGTGGCTCGATCCCCAGTGTGGAGTGTGCAGGAGGCAGCTGATCAATGACTCTCATCATTGATGTTTCTATGTCTCTCTCCCTCTCCCTTCCTCTGTGAAATCAATAAAAATATATTAAATATTTCAAAATTTCATAGATTTCTGCCTACTCCACCGAAGAGAATTTTATCTTTAGAGCTCAGTGTGTAGTATGTGTATAAATTTGCTGATCTCTTGCTCCTCTCAGAGGATGTCTATTGTGGTGAAGAGGAGGGGATTACAGAAAAGCACTTACCTAGGAGCCTCAATCTTTATGAAGGTAGAAGCTGGTGACAATAAAGAAGTTGGGAGCTCATGGAGATTTTAATTGATAACAATTTACTCTCAGTGATTTTGATATACAAAATAAAATCATGTGATTATAATAGGAATATACACACACACACAAAACCAGTGTGAAGATTACCAAAGAAGCATACAGAAAGAAAAGCATCTACTTATCCCACCCAGAAATTTTCACAACTCTGCCACACCAACAGAAGTTGCATAAGTCATAAATTAATATATAGTTCCAAATATGCTAGTGAGAACAAAGACGGTTTAGTATCAAGTCCAGCTTTAAACTTTTTAAATTTAAACTTTGTATGACTTTCCATTTGCATAAAACACTAACCACAGTAGCTACTGGAACATATAAAATTTCACTTTTATATCCTTTCAAAAACAATGAAAACAATGAGATTCTGTTGCAGAGAAAAAATTTAAAATTCTACCTTTTAGATTAACCTTTTTAATAATTCAAATTAAGTACATAACTTTGGATTAATTATGTCCAAGTCACAAATGTGGTGCAGAGTCTATTTATATAGCTTCAGAGTTTATTTATCATAACATTTTTATCACAAAAAGGGCGGTAATATTGATTCTTTAACTACTTAATACATTGCCCTATAGAAATTTTTAAAAAGTCACACTGCTTAAAAAATATATGGTGGCTTACCATAAGTAGAGTTAGAGAAGGCTCCGTTCTTTAAATACATTAATTAATATTGATCAGTGTCCATGGGAATAAGGCTAAGGCAACAACACCCACACCAAAATCTGGCAGTCCCCAGATTTGTGTATCTGTGAACGGAAGGCGGCCACATAGGCCAGATGATTACTACTGCCAGCTCAGCAACTGAGCTTGGCGAAAAGGCGGCATCCACACACAGGCCACGCTTGAGAACCAGAGCTTAACAGTCTCCTCTGGCAGGGACTGGAGAATGTGGCAGGGATTACACCAATAAAAGTCCGACAGAAGCAGGATTGTTGGCGGTAAAGGGGAGCGTCCTTCCAGGGGCTGCAATCCTGTGGGAGGCGGGAGGCAGCCGCTGACGGGCTAACACCCCCCACCCCGGAGCTGAAGCTATGGGGGCAGAGCGGAGCGCACTCGTCCGTCCTTACCTTGTCATCCTCGCATCTCTTCCCCAGGCCCTCCCTGGCCTGCAGCCGGCTGCTGAGGCGACCGTAGTCGGCCTCCTTCTGGTCAATCTGCTTCTTGTGCGAGTCCACCAACAGCAGGAGGTCTGAATTGCGCTTCTCCAGGCGCCCGCGGGCCACCTCGGTGCGCTGGACCTGGCCCTGCAGCTCGGCCACCTCCTCCTGGAGCAGGACGTGGCGCGAGGAGATGCTCCAGTAGTTGAAGGCGAGGATCGCGATCACCACCAGCAGCACCACCAGCACGAAGGAGGGCAGGCGGCCGGCCCGCCGGTTGGCCCCGAAGCCCACCATGGGGACGAACCGGGCTGCGCCTCGGGGGCCTCGCCGCCGACACCTGCCGCCGGCAGAGGCTCAGGCCACGGCAGCGGAGTTGCCTAGGGGACGCGGCCCTGGGGCCGGGAGCGGGAGTGGGCGGTCCAGTGCGCCCGCCCGCCCGCGAGCCCGAGAAGGGGGCGGGGCCGCAGTCCCTCCCGCCCCCTCTCCTCAAATCCCGCCGGGACAGCGTTCTGGAGGCTTTGAACACGAACCTTCGCCCGCAGGAGAGGAACCTACGGAACCCAGCTGCCCGCACCTCGGGCCCCCACACCTCAGGATAGGGGGCGGGGCGAGGAGCCGGAAGGGGGTGGACTTGACTCTGGCCCTGCCCACCGGCTGTGTCGGTCGCCTAGGGGTCCAATTTCCTAGTTTCCGCCGACGACGCCCCCTCTTCTCGCGAGAAAGTGGGCTTCTCTCGCCCCTATGCGGTCTTATCTCGCGAGGGTTATGTCTGTGGGAAGATCGTTGGTATTCGTTTCGGCGGTTCGCGTTAGCTCTTGGACCTGAATCGGAGTGTCCCTTCAGCTTTCACCTGCTCAGTTCCCTTCCCCCAGGGTCTCGGTGGTGCCCCTCCGCAGAGTTTTGGTCTTTGAGGACATCTTGGGGCTGCGACTGCTGTGCAGGGAAGAGAGGAGGAGAGAAGGGGCTACGAGAAAGGTTTTGAACTTGCTTCAGTGGAAGGAGCTTATCTTCTTTGTGTTAACGATATGGAGAGAACACAAAACAAAAAGGCAATGAAATAGCAGTACCCCAAACATAAAGAAAAGCAAGAAACACTGAGTTTTATGGCCGAAAGGGATGGAGCCAGCCTGGTTTCCAAGGTTACTGCTTTCACCAACGGAAAGAACTTCAGAATGTGTGGGCTTCTGTTCTTAAACTGCTGCGTTTACATTGTTCTGAGCTTCCAAATAGTGAGTCCAGAAGCTGCCCTCAATGGATGGTAACTAATAGTGTTACTGGCAGCCAACACATTCTAAATGAGAAATAATAGCTTTCTTACAGAATGTTTTTGCATGCCTAGTTTCATATTGCCCTCTCGGCCGCACAGTTTCACAGATGAGGAACCCAAGACACAGAAATGTTCCAGGAACTTTCTCAAAGTCCCACGTCTTGTTTAAGATAGAGTTAAATGCAGATCAGGGGTCTCTAACAAATTGCTCTTCGCATTATACCAAGTTAACTGTCGCTATATGATCAGCATTAATTATGTTGATGCAGAGAAAGCCCGCATCTCTTTTGTCTGCATATTTCCTTTGCCCTTGAATAAAATTTTTAAAAGCTATTGGCTCTATTCCTGTTTAAGGAGATGGAGTTGCCTTATTTTTCAAACCTTAGGTTAAAGAATTTCCAGAAATTAAGAACCTCCATAACTCAAGCACTTTGATATTTTCATTCAATTCAGAGTGGTATGATTTTGTGGCAAGACATCATCTTTGAGTAATTATTGTATGCTTCCTGTCCATTTCAAAAATAAAGGTAAGTAGAGACACAGACTCATTGAACAGACCTTCAAACCTCAGAGGGAAGACAGATGGAGGGAAGACAGACAAACACAGGGTGGTGGTGGTAGTGGTAAGAAATCAACCAAAGAACTTATATGCATACTAGTGACCTGATGCATGAAATCTGTGCACAATAAAAGGGGATTAGAGGAAATATTTTAATATTCCTATTTACCCTTTCTCTATAATAGAAGTGTCCAGCCAGCCTCACCCCCATTGGGTGATACCAAGATCTGACCGACCAGCCCCACTCCAGGCAGGGGAGGCAGCCTCACATCCCAGCACCAGGGTGGGGAGTACAACCTCAGGTCCCCCAGCCCTGGCCCGAGCCATGCAGCCTCATCCAGACCTGCTACGTCTCAGGACCCATTGATACACCTCCTAGTCACGTTTGGTCGTTATGGACAAAAATAAAGTCATGCGCTTAAGCATGCACTTAATCATTTTCAATGCCTGATTTGTCTACGTTCTCTAAATTGCAAAATAAGATTTTTTTGATGATAGTCATTCTCACAAGTATGAGATGGTACTTCATTGTTGTTTTGATTTGCATCTCTCAGATGATTAGTGGACTATATCCCAAGAAGCCAGAAACACCAATCAGAAAGGATACATGCACCCCTATGTTCCTAGCAGCACAATTTACAATGGCTAAGATTTGGAAACAGCCTAAGTGCCCATCAGCAGATGAGTGGATTAAAAAACTGTGTACATCTACACAATGGAATATTATGCTGCTGTAAAAAAAGAAGGAACTTTTACCATTTGCAACAGCATGGATGGTACTGGAGAGCATTATGCTAAGTGAAATTATCCAGTCGGAGAAAGATAAATATCACATGATCTCACTCATATGTGGGATATAATGATCGACATAATTTTTTTAAAAATACACTTTATTGATTTTTCACAGAGAGGAAGAGAGGGGGATAGAGAGTTAGAAACTTCGATGAGAGAGAATCATCGATCAGCTGCCTCTTGCACACCTCCTACTGGGGATGTGCCCGCAACTCAGGTACATGCCCTTGACCGGAATCGAACCCGGGACCTTTCAGTCCGCAGGCCGACGCTCTATCCACTGAGCCAAACCGGTCCCGGCGTGATCGACATAATTTGATGAACAAGAATAGATCCAGAGACAAATGGTAGGGGAGAGGGAAGTTAAAGAGCAACCAAAGGACTTGTATGCATGCATATTAGCATAACCAATGGACACAGACACTGGGGCTTTGGGGTCTTGCCTGGGATGGGGTGGGGGAATCAATTGGGAGAAATGGAGACATATGTAAAACTTTAGACAATAAAAATAAAGTATCACATAAGTCTCCTTTTCCCCCCCATTGACCTCTCCCTGGCCGCTCCACCCAGCACAGGTCCTCCCCCCCACCCCCTACTGTCTGTGTCCATTGGTTATGCTCATATGCATGCATACAAGTCCTTTGGTTGATCTCTTCTCCCCAGGTGCATTACCTCTGCCCTTATTTCTCCTAAAGTTCCAAGGGCCTTCCTAGTACCTCTGAAACTTTCTAAATAAACTTTATCTTATAATTTGAAAAGAAAGTGTTTATATTTTTTAAATATATATATATTTTATTGATTTTAGAGAAGAAGGAAAATGGAGCGATAGAAACATCAGTGATGAGAGAGAATCACTGATTGGCTGCCTCCTGCACGCTCCCTACTGGGTACTGAGCCTGAAACCCAGGCATGTGTCCTTGGCCAGAATTGAACCTGGGACCCTTCAGTCCACAGGCTGATGCTCTAGCAATTGAGCCAAACCATCTAGGGCAAGTGTTTACATTTTTAAATAGGATTCTGGCATGTGAAAGTATATATAGAAAACATTTACATACATTATTTTAATCAGATGCTTCAAAGAACTATTTGGTGCCATTATTCCAATTTACAGATGTAGAAGTAATTTACACAAAGTCATATGTCCCCTAAGTGGGAACAATTTTTTTTTTTCTAGTTCACTGGTTATCTCTTCAAGCCAATCCTCTTACTAATGAGCCCAATCCAGATACTATCAAGACAGTGTATAAGTACTTTCCTATAAATTGTTCAAGATTAGGTTTTAAACAAATTGAAGTAAAAGTCAACTCCTAAAGCAAGGTGATTAAAGTTAACAACAACAAAAATCATGTTATTACATATCTTTCAAATGATACGATGAAGGTAGCATTCAGTCTTCTTTCCCAAAACTCATAACCCTAGTCTAATCATGAGAGAAATATCAGATAAATCCCAATTAAGAACCATTCTACAAAATACTTTGACAGTAATCCTACAAATGGTCAATGTCATCATACACAAGGAAAATCTGAGAACTTTTCATAGCCAAAAGAAAGATAAAGGCCATAATTAATAAATGTAATGTGGTATTCTAGATAAAATCCAAATACAGAAAAGAATCACTAGGTAAAAACTAAGGAATCCTGATAAAATAGGAATATAATTTGAATAAAATATAGACTTTAGTTAGTAATAATGTATCATTATTGGTTAATTGAGTGTCATAAATGTACCTTGCTAATATAGGATGTTATTAATGGGGGAGACTGGGTTGTGGGATACATGGGAATTGTGTACTATTTTCACAATTTTTCTGTATTTCTAAAACTATTCTAAAGTAAAATTATTATTTTTAAAAAATATATATTTTATTGATTTTTTACAGAGAGGAAGAGAGAGGGATAGAAAGCTAGGAATATCGATGAGAGAGAAACATCGACCAGCTGCCTCCTGCACACCCACCACTGGGGATGTGCCCGCAACAATGTACATGCCCATGACCAGAATCAAACCCGGGACCCCTCAGTCTGCAGGCTGACACTCTCCACTGAGCCAAACCGATTTCAGCTAAAATTATTTTTTAAAAGTCAGTTCATAAGATCAGAATCTATACTTTCTTCAAGATGCAGCATAAGTCTCCCTTTCCAAGATCTTCTTCAAGATTCCTACTCAGCTCATCTCTTTCTCCTTCTGAAGTAAGCACTCTTTGTCTACAAATTGCATTATTTTGACAATAATCATAGAATATAATATTGCCTTACATTGTTACTCAATTCTTTCATACTGGTGTGTCTTATTGTAATTGGCCAGATAGTTGTAAACTTCGGAAAGCACACATTTCATTATCTTTGTTTTCTCTCATTTTAGCACATAGCATATTAGCTAGTAGATATTAAGAAAATGCATATTAAGTGAACTAATAGACACATGGCAGGTATTCAATAAATATTTTTGACTTATTAATCATCACTTCTTACATATCTCTCCAAAACATAGTGGTTCTTGTTCCTTAATATTTTGCTCCTTTTTTTTTAAATGTAATTTTAAAAAACCAGACTTAGATTCTCTGCAATCAATGAAAAAATGGTCATGCCTCTTCATAGTCTGCTGCAATGTAGTTTTTCTGGAGTTGGCAGAAAACCCAAGGTTTCTGCCCTATTTTTTGTTTTCTGCACTGCA